TATAAAATTATCTATACAAGTCTCAAAAAAACAAAAGTATAGTCCTCTTCTAATATTAGAAGAGCTCTTATAAATGCTGATGAATTTCTGATATATTTTCATATTCCTTCTCACACAAAATGTAAAATAATAAGATACACTAGTAATTTTACATCATTTTGCTTAGTCTTCAAAGCATGTTGAGTTTTGTTCTTTTAAAATCACCTACAACACAAGCATATACAAAGAGAAATTATATAACATCTACATTTCTTATTTGTTCCAACTCTTGCCTTAACAAAAAATTTAAAAATTTCCATGTATACCTAGACATGGAGATTTTCCTTTTTCCTTTTTCCATACCTCTTTTAGATGCCTCTCCTTAAAGTATCCGTTTGTATCTGTCCATATTTTATTTCTTGTATTTTTTTTTCTTTTACTTTTGTTATCCCACCAAAACCTTTTATTGCATCTCATACTGCCCTTCATTAAGTGAATCTCTTTTATTAAAAGATGCCTTTTTTGAAAAGGACATTCTTGAAACACGTGATTGAATGCTATACATGAAGTATCTCACATGACATATACCCATCAAATTTTTAACTCTTTCCGTGTTTGTTCTTCTTTATTTTCTTTTTACCAATGACACACTACATCTCTATACCATATCTCCTGCTAATTTGTTACAAAATGTATATCCAGTAGTACACAGGATGTATCACACACACACACATATATATATATACACACACTCATCCATTTATCGAGGGTCTTTCAAAAACAACCTCTCTACTTCTATGAGGTAGTGGTAAGGTCTGTGTACATTCTACCCTTTCCAGACTGCAGTTGTGGAATTACACTGGATATATTATTGTTGTTGTTTTTGTACTCACCTATATCATACCTCAAATATCTATTTATTCCTCTTTATATTCAATTGTTAAATACTAAAATTTTCTCCACTATATACATGATCATCACTGTATTTACTTAATGCATCTTTGTATTTATCATTATCGCTTTTTCCATTGTGATACCAACTTTCTCTCAAAAATTTCTCATCTAAGCCAAGAATCAATAATCATTGATAAAATCCACCACAAATCACCAAACATATTCAATCCTTTCTGAGCCAAGGTCCCTCGTTCAACAAAGTTAAGAAAATTGTTGTGCATCACATTATTGTCAATCTTAAATATAAGTGTTTTTTTCCATATGCAAGAAGATAATATATCCATCGAAGAGGAGTAGTTCAAGTGTGCATATGAAGTTCGTGTGATACTAGTAGATCATGGCAAAAAGTTTGTTATTGAGGTGATTGATTTGCTAAAGTATTGTTTATAAAATGTTACATCTCTAAAACAAATTCTTTGATTTAACTTAATTCTATCTAATTTTCTTAAAATTAATTTCCTTGTTTAAGGATTATAAGTTCTCTATAATTACAATATATTAGAAGAGAGAGTTTCAAACAGTTTCAATTTTTCAACAATTGGCAAATAGGGGTATTCTTGTCATTCTGATTTTCCATTTGAAAGTCATAACCCAGGCACGGAAATTATTGCCATTTCAATTTGTCAAAGGCTGCATTGTCTGTCCACGTGTCTTTCTCTCTATATAATTCATCAAACACGTGCTCTTCTTCAATTGAGCTATAATTTTGAAGGCTTTGGCCTCATCTCCATTTTGTTTTCTCTGCCATACTTTTTGTTTCTGCTTTTGTAACAATAACCACACAGTTATTTTTATTTTTTTTGTTTGGTCTGGTTTTAGAAATTTTAAAAATCGATAAGATTGTTTATTTTCAATTTTAATCAAAATAATCGATTCAAATCGAACCACCAACATCCCTACGTATATGTAAACAAACAGTTTCAATTTTTCAACAATTGGCAAATAGGGGTATTCTTGTCATTCTGATTTTCCATTTGAAAGTCATAACCCAGGCACGGAAATTATTGCCATTTCAATTTGTCAAAGGCTGCATTGTCTGTCCACGTGTCTTTCTCTCTATATAATTCATCAAACACGTGCTCTTCTTCAATTGAGCTATAATTTTGAAGGCTTTGGCCTCATCTCCATTTTGTTTTCTCTGCCATACTTTTTGTTTCTGCTTTTGTAACAATAACCACACAGTTATTTATTTTTTTTTTGTTTGGTCTGGTTTTAAAAATTTTAAAAATCGATAAGATTTGTTTATTTTCAATTTTAATCAAAATAATCGATTCAAATCGAACCACCAACATCCCTACGTATATGTAAAATATAACTGTTTATAGAAAGCAAGATTAATATTATTATTTATTATTATGAGAAATAAGGTTAGATACATACTATAACTTTTCAACAATTGGCAAATAGGGGTATTTTTGTCATTCTGCTTTCCTATCTGAAAGTGATAAGCCAAGCAGGGAAATTATTGTCATTTCAACTTGTAAAAGGCTGCATTGTCTTGCACGTGTCTTGCTCTCTATACATTCATCAAACACCTACTCTTCTTCAATTGACGTGTAATTTTGAAGGATTTGGCCTTATCTCTATTTTCTTTTCTCTGCTATATATGCTATATACTTTTTGTTTCTGCTTTTGCAACAATAATCAAATCGATGGTTCTTTTTTTATTTCGTTTCGTTTCGTTTTAGAATTTTCAAAAATCCAGTAGATTGGTTTAATTTTAATTTTAATTAATAACCGATTCAAACCGAACCACGAACATTCCTGCGTATATGTCACTCTTTATAAAAAAACAAGATATAAAAAGCAAGATTAATATATTAATTATAATATATAATATGCGAAATAAGGTTAGATACATACTATAACATGCGTTAGCAAATATATATATATATATATATATACCCTTCCAACGTCTCTGCTATTGGTCATTCAATTGCCAAGGATATTTTTGTCGTTCTGATTTTTGAAAGTCATAAGGTCAATAGAGGTATTATTGTCATTTCAACTTCTTAAAAGTTGCCTTTGTCATTTCAGCTTCTTAAAGGTTGCCTTTTGTGTATATTATATAATATTATTGCTCTCTCTAAATTCATCAAACACGTACTCTTCTGTAATTCAGCAATAATTTTTAAGATTTTGGCGGTCGCCTCCATTTTCTTTTCTCTGCTTTTTGTTTCTGCTGTTTCTTTTTACTTTCTTCTTGCCTCCTTGTATATACCAAAAAAAGGGAAACTTGTTGTGTGTTTTGTATAATATAGAAGAAAAGCTTGCCGTTCTGTCGAAGCTGCTTTGTTTATACTGCTGTTATCAGGTTTGCAATTTGAAGTTGTTGTTTTTTTCCTTTTTCAATTAGATTTCCATATTTGTTTCTGCTAAAATTACGTTGGATTATAAATTTCGTGTGATTAACTTCTATGCTATACCGAATTATGTTTTGGGGATTTCAAGTTTGTTTGATTTTATTTGGGGCATGCTAATTTTTCCAAGCTCTTCAAATTACAGCTGAATCGGACTTTGACATTTTGCCTCTGCATGCGTTGCAGCGACAAATCCCTTTTCATTGATTAAGCTGGATGAAGCTTATGTGTTAGTGTATATGTTTGTGTCTGAGTTGTTGATGGGTTTTGGATGAATTGATATTATTCATTGGATTTGGTTTATCTTTCCTGGATCTTAATGTGTTCAAAAAAAAAAAAAAATGTTGCTACGTTTATGATGGAACTTTGATTGCGTACTCTTCTATTGTTGGACTGTGTATATGCTAGAATGAGAATTTTTCTTACTGTTAAATTACATCGAATGATGGAATTTCGATTTTTTTGGAATGAAGCTTGTATTTTTAATGTTGATTTTGCACATGATTTTCTACTATTTTTAATAGTTCTCCTGTGACTACATAAATGGAACAAAATAACCAATTATTTAATTACAGTTCTATACCTCTTTATTTTGTCAGTTCGTCTAAGTATTTAAGTGCTTCTATTTTGTCTTTTTATAGTTCGCAGAGAGACTTACTTATTTTGTTATCTTCTTTTTGCATATCAATGACCAATTTTAATACTTTAGAAAACTTTTACAAAAATTTCATTAGTAGTTGCACACTAATCTCTGGTGAAAATGGTATTGGTAATAGAAGAGAAGTGAACTTAATTTCTGGATTTGCTGGTAAAAAAAGGCATAGACAGATTGGATATTCTTGATGATGATATGTAGGTGAGTGTATTTAGTGTTCTTGATGCTAATCATAATTTCTTGAACTTCAAATCTATTATCACTTTGCATAAGGATAAATAAGAAGATCAAGAAAAATGAGATATAATTGGTAATTACTATTAGATAGTGGCTATACAGTCATATGTTGTGAATAACCTGAAATTAGCTGTATATATCAAATGCACAAACTTCTAACTCGCTTAAGTAGATAAGGAAAAAATTCACAAACCATAGGAGCTGAGGTTAGTTTGCAGATCATGTTGATCATGCAGACTGAAATTTATCCCACCGCGTCTAAGTTTTCCACTTTTCCTTTCGATTGAAATTGCAGAACAGAGTCCAATATTTGTATAATGATACACTTGAGATTTCTTCTGTGTCAACTGTTATTGCTGCTGCATTTTATTGCACACTTGAGATTTAATTGTTATTACTCTTACATATTAGAGGATTTACAATGTCACTAATGTCCAAGTTTGAACAAATTAATAATGTAGAATAATAGGGATCAGGAAGTGATCAAGTTTTTTAATTCAAAATAATAATAACAAAACAAAAATAAGAGCGGGGATTTGCAAACAACTCCGAGAGCGACACCTCATACACCTAGATTTTAAAAATCCGACTTCTGTGGGAATAGGATGAAATGTCGTCATATTGCATGATTCATTCAATGTTGCAATAGGCTTGCATCAACTCTCACCAGGTTTATGTTGCTGTTTGGGAAAAAACTCTGTTTTTAATTATTGTACAAAGTCTATATATTCACTTTTGCCATTGGTAGCTAATAGTTTGATCTCCTTCTTTTGGTCTACCCTTTTTGTAATGCAGCTTTTTCGTTCTCGCTTTGTGTTCGTGCGGTTATATAGGCTTCTACCTACAAGGTAATGCTTTCCCTGCCAAAAATAATTTATGTCAGCATTACGTGCATTTACAACTTTATAATATGAATACTTCTTGCTGATATATTTATTATTGCATGTGATTTTTAATAACTGATAGAAACATACTATTGAAATGCCGAATAAAAAAAAACAAGCACATCCACACTCTGACAAAGCAGAGGGCAGTAAAAAACCTCAACGTCATGACTTATATAAAGTGAAGTGCCCTACCAAAAAAAAAGTTGTCTTGCCGAGAACCCAAACCAATCAAACTGGATTGAGCAGACAACATTTCACTGCTGACTCAACCATCTCTTCATCTTCCCTCACACAGCTACATTCTGCTGAACAACATCCTATTCAGCGACAAGATTGCTTATATCAATTTGAATTAGGTCAGAAAATTATATTGATATTTCTTTAGAAAAATATATTATATAGATATATGCTAAATACATGTACATGACAGGCTCAACATCAACTGCTGATGAACATTGTAATGAAAACACTATAATGACACAAACATCCATAAATTACCATATGTTGAAACTCGTTCCAAAATGTAATTTTTGTGGTGCAAAAAGATTTGAATATGAATCAGTGGGTTTCTGTTGCGCCAAAGGTGCTATTAAACTAATTTCTCACCAACTTCCATCAAACTTGCAAAATCTTTACCTACAACATAACGAGAAATCAAAGCTTTTCCGAACTTATATAAGAACCTACAATAACATGTTTGCATTCACATCTCTTGGAGTAAATTACGATAAAGATTTAGCGAAAAGAAATAAAGGCATTTATACATTTAGAGTTCAGGGTAAGATGTACCATTTTATAGACAATCTAATACCAAGTGGTGAAAAAATGAAAACTCTTCAGCTATACTATTTTGACAGCGAAAATGAATTGAAAAACCGAATGGCATGTTCTGATAAACTAAATCAACAAATTGTCGAAACTTTAATGCAAATATTACAAGTTAATCCGTATTCTATATTCTTAAAATCTTTAATAAATATTCCACAACTAGCTGATTTCTATATTGCTTTTAAATCTGATGCTGGTCTAAATCAACGTATATATAACTTGCCAACTACATCAGAGGTTGCAGGAATATGGTTAGAACAAAATATTAACAACCATGTTTCCACACCTCATATCAGAATATATACTAAAAGTGATACAAGCCAATTAGTACATTATTATTATGGATGTTATGATTCATTACAATATCCATTATTGTTCCCTCATTGTGAAAATGGTTGGCACTGTGGTATTAAAAAAATTAAACCTCTAAGTCCTCATTCTACTACACAAACACACTGTAAAAATGAACAACTACCAAATGTTAACAATATGGCCTCGATTGATGGATTTTAATTTAGAAGATGAAATTAATAGACAAAAGGTAAAAAAAAAGAAGAAACTGTTTCTTGTCGTGAATATTATTGCTATAAACTTCAAATGAGAGATGATGAAAGCATAATTCTGCATTCGGGTAGATTATTCCAACAATATGTAGTAGATGAATGGATCAAAATCGAAACTCAAAGACTTGATTTTACTTATTTTAACCAAGACTTCATAAGAACTGATGTATTAGGAGGGCTTCTGGATGTTCTACGCCATGGCGAAAGAGATGCTTCCCAAGTAGGTAGAAATAGAATAATACCTCCCAGTTTTACCGGTGGTCCTAGAGATATGCGTCGTCGATACATGGATGCTATGACTTTAGTTCAGCGTTTTGGAAAGCCTGATTTGTTTTTAACTATCACTTGTAATCCTTCTTGGCCTGAAATTAAAGAAAATCTACTGCCAATTGATCAATCACAAAATAGACCTGATCTAATTTGTAGAGTATTTCGAGCAAAGTTAGAGGAATTAAAAAAAAATATATTGACTGCGCATATATTTGGTAAAGTTATTGCATATATGTACACAATAGAATTTCAAAAGCGAGGTCTTCCTCATGCTCATTTTCTTATTATACTTGAAGAAAAATACAAAATATTAACACCTGAAGCATATGATCAATTTGTTTGCGCTGAGCTACCAGATCCCAAAAGAAATCCTCATTTATTTGAACTTGTTCGTTTACACATGATACATGGTCCCTGTGGTACATTAAACCCAACATGCCCTTGTATGAAAAAAAAAAGGGTTATTGCAAATTCAAATATCCAAAAAACTTTTGTGCACAAACAACTAAAGGCAAAAGTTCATATCCAATCTACAGAAGACGAAATACAGGGCAATCTGTAAAAATTGGAAGTCATCTTCTTGATAACTCATGGGTGGTTCCTTACAATCCTTATCTGCTCAGCAAATTCAATTGTCATATAAATGTTGAGATTTGTTCTGACATTAAAATTGTAAAATATATTTATAAGTATATATGCAAAGGACACGATAAAATTGCATTTAATTTACACACCGATAACGCAAATATAGAAATTGATGAAATAAAAGAATATCAATCAGCTAGATGGGTATCCCCACCTGAAGCTACATGGCGTATATATGCTTTCCCTATTAGTGAAATGAACCCATGTGTATACCATCTTCAACTTCATCTTGATGGACAACAACTTGTATCTTTTAAAAGCACAGACAATATTGATAAAGTTATAAATAATCCTATGATAAAAAAAACTATGTTAACTGAATTTTTTGCAATGAACAAAGTCAATAAAGAAGCTATCACTTTAAATTTATTATATAGACAATTTCCAGAATTTTTTGTATGGTCAACTTCATATAGAATGTGGACACGTCGCAAACAAAGAAATGCGATTGGTCGTGTCGTAACCTGTCACCCAACTGAGGGAGAAAGATATTATCTTAGGCTACTTTTAATGAATGTAAGAGCACCTAAATCATATGAAGATTTGCTCACTTTCAATGGAGAATATTGTAGTACATTCAGAGAATCAGCAGAGAAAAGAGGATTGTTACTTTGTGACAACAATTTAACAGAATGTATGTCTGAAGCGACGACTTATCAAATGCCATCTACCTTAAGACATTTATTTGGTGTGTTGCTAGCTTACTGTAATCCAAATAATCCTAAAGAGTTATGGAAAAAATTTGAAAATTCAATGTCTGAAGATTTCAACAAAATCCCAGGTTTATCTTCAAAAGAAGTTCGTTATAAAGTACTAAATCATATTAATGATATTCTTTATTCAATGGACCGCGATATTAATGAATTTGACTTAATTCCAGAAATCATAAAACCTTCTGCAATGGCTAAAGAGGCTAAAGATGTACTTTCTGAAAGAAATATAATTGTTAGTGAAAAAGATTTGCTATTACAAAGGCAATTAAATAGAGACCAACAAATAGCCTACAATACAATTCTAAATAGAGTTTTTTCGAATAAACCGGGGGCTTTCTTTATTGATGGCCCAGGTGGAACTGGTAAAACTTTTTTGTATCGTGTGTTGCTGGCTACTGTCAGACATCGAGGATTTGTTGCTTTAGCAACAGCAAGTTCCGGTGTTGCAGCCTCGCTTCTTCCAGGAGGTCGAACAGCACATTCCCGTTTTAAATTACCTATAGAAATTGATGGAAATTTTAGTTGCAATATAAGTAAACAAAGTTCATTAGCGTCTTTAATTCGAGATGCAAAATTAATAGTATGGGATGAAATTTCAATGGCAAAAAAAGAAATGATTGAGGCACTAGACTTGCTTCTAAAAGATTTAATGGAAACAAAAATTCTATTTGGTGGAAAAGTTATTGTATTTAGTGGCGATTTTAGGCAAACTCTGCCTGTTGTTCGTGGTGGTAAAAGAGAAGATTTTGTTTCTGCAAGCTTGCTTTGCTCTAAAATTTGGAATGAACTTGAAAAACTACAATTGTCCGAAAATATGCGAGCAAAAATAGATCCTGCCTTCTGCCAATATTTGATGAGAATTGGCCATGGAAAAGAAAAAATAAATAGCCAGGGAAAAATTGAAATTCCGTGTTCTTTTGTTCTTCCTTTTACGGATGAAAAAGATTCCTTAAATAATTTATTCAAACTTGTTTATCCCAATCTATATACATCTGCTTCAAATATTTCTTTCATTACTTCCCGCGCTATTCTAACAACCAAAAACGATTTTGTTGATGAAATAAATGACATGTTGATTATGCAATCTCCATCTAATATTAAAGTATATATTGCTGTTGATGAAACTCTAGACCCAAAAGATCAAAGTGAATATGAAGACTTTATGCATACTTTAAACCCTCCAGGATTGCCTCCTTACAAATTATCTTTAAAAAAACATTGTCCAATTATATTACTAAGAAATCTAAATCCTTCGGTGGGTTTGTGTAATGGAACACGATTAACATGCGATGACTTTAAATCAAATATTATCAGTGCCACAATTTCTAATGGTGATTTCAAAGATACACATGTATTTATTCCAAGAATACCACTATTAACATCACAAGATGAAAAGATACCCTTTCAATTTAAGAGAACACAATTTCCAATACGCTTATGCTACGCTATGACTATTAACAAAGCTCAAGGTCAAACACTAGAGTTTGTTGGAATTTATCTGAGAGAACCTGTTTTTTCTCATGGCCAACTATATGTTGCATTATCGAGAGCTAAAAGTTCTAACTGTGTTAAAGTATTAATAAGACCGCCAACAGTTGAGGATAAAAAGATTGTTATACACATAATATAGTTTATGACGAAATTATCGCAAAAGCTTTTCTCTAAATTGATACTGCACTAATTTACGGTAAAAACCTCCCCTTATTTCCTTTGACAATTTTACCTTTCAATCATTTTATATTATGCAATTTTGTTACTATCTATATTCTATTTGCTCATATTCTTATTATGCACTAACAACATCACAATATTATAATCGCAGATCATCTCATGGCAGAAAGATTAACCATAAATGCCGTTACCAGCGAAACCAAAGAATGGACAGTTAAGGTGCAAGTCGTCGATAAGGGCCGACCTAGAGATAACCTGCAAAAAACCAATAAGTATCAACTCATGATTCTTCAAGATGAAGAGGTATGACATTGCTTTCATCACATCCACTTACATTTTCCTTAATCTTCTTTATCTAGAACTCAATCCTCACTTAAATTAGCTTCGCAATTACATTTATCCATGCCTAAGACATTTGTTATTCTCCATTGGTCTTCTCGCTGTCTTCTTTTATAGCTCTGCTATTTTTAGCTCACTCACTTTTTCATGAGTAAAGCAAACACAAACTCTATTAGTTGTCAAAACAAAAATCATAACCTGCAACCAAAATGGAAATACAATTAAAGTAGAATCCTCTCATTATTCCTGCAGACAATACTAATACTTCAAATTTTACAATTTGTTTGAAAATGCTCTTTGCCTTCTGAAGACTTCATTTACTTATACTACCACTTAATATATACTTTCATGTTGCTGGCATACCTCGATGCTTTTCAATCATAAGATCATATGCAAAATCAGTGAAATGAAATGAATTTAATTTTACTAACAACAGATACATTACTCTTTAAACTTCGTTCATTTACTTTCAACTTCAAACCCCACTCATGGAATCAAATAAGATATATGATTTTGTCGTCGTCAAATTAGTAATGTTTTGCTCCATTTTGAACATTCTTATTTTTTAATTAATTTATTCATATGATGTTTCTTATATTGTGTTCCACAAGGTTTGATTCAACAACTAAGACATCTATTTCAAAATTTCTTACACAAGACAAACACAAAACTTGTGAAATAAAATTTTCAAGCTTTAAACTTATTTTATTACACTTAGAAAGCTATTTGCATTGTCAACTATATAAAGCTCTCAACATATAAAGTCATTGTTGAGAACTCAAATAATAGCATCCACAACTAGAGCAAATAAAAACAATATGTTTAGTTGTTGAAAATAACTTTACCTGTTAGCACTTGGATTATTATTTTTGCCTTTAAAGCAATGGAAAACAACTTTATCACATGTTGTTTTGTATTTTTAAAATTGAAAATTACCAAAAGCTAAAAAATAGATGTCAAAACAAAATGTGTGGAGAAATGACCCTCGCGCCTTTTGGACAAACTTGATTCTCAAGAAGCAGAACCAGGGGGATGTCTAGACATTTCGATTTGAAAAATCTAATCCCAACTCACTGTTGGTCAAACTGTCTTAGAATATATGTGCATTCTTCTTGCTTCTCGAGTTCTTGATTACATCCATTATCCCTTCTACGATATATCCCTAATGTATTTGATATTCTATCATGTTGGTGTCAACTTGAGCTGCTCCAAGCTCACTGTTTTGGTGACAAAACGTAAAATCTTGCAGCCATGCCATTGATATGAGTTGTACATTCTTGCATCAAATCTTCCAGATAGTAGTGTTAATTTCTCTTTTCTTTCTACACAAGCTTGGAATGAGACTATTATCTTGACTCGCTTTTGTTGGACATTGTAGTGAACAACTTTTGATTGTTACTGGAATAACTATTCCATTGTAGTGGAAATTATAAGAAATAATTTCTCTTTATATGAAATCATGTTTATTCCAAATTGAGCTTGTAAATTACTATCTGCCATCTTTAATAGAATTAAATAATTTCAGTCATTCTTAAGTTTTTATATAATTGACCATACTTAATACCAATCGTCATTAAGTGCATAATTATTTATTGCATCATCTAATCTCTTTTTTAATGTGTTTAAATTTTATAATAACTTTTGTGCTCAGTTTTAGAAGAAGAATTTGTGTTCTTCATATTGTTTACTTGATCCAAAGTGTATTGATTGAGTCTCATGATTTATGGTACTCTATTCATCCTACATATTTCAAATCATTCCGCAGAATTCTCCTTAACATTGTCATGCATTTGGCATAAACAAAAGACATGAGGTTACATAATCTATATCACTAATGATCTTTACAGAAAAGTCATTAGTCTAGAAGAGCCAAATTTTATTATTAATGTTAAGAGTAAAATCCCTGCAGTAGTCTCATGTAGTAATCTACTTGACTTGCTTGGACAAAAAGTTCTTGGAAACTAATAAAAGTAATATTTTACTTATTTTTGGTAGTTATGAACCTTTCAAAAACTGTCAAAATTATTGCACTCCTTGTGTTCCATTAGATTGTATTTGTAACTGGAAACTAGCAGCGTTAGACCTATTCATATCTCTTTAACTTCCTTTTTATCTCTCTACATAGGAGTATCTTTATGAGTTAAAGATATTCATTTATTAATGTACATTCTCAGCAAAATTCACCAAATCTTGAATGATTTACCTCTGTTCCCCAAGTAATTTAAATGGTATTTATGTAGAAACCAACAACTGCTTTGTATAGCTTGGCCATTTATGTAGTATTTTTGCTCCAAAGTACTATGTTCAATGAATATTATGTTTCTTCACACTTATTTGTACTTGCAAGCAAATAAAGTTCAATAATAGTGTTGCCATGATTAATCATCTAAATACAACAATAGTCCCTTTCTTTATCTGCAACACTTCTGCCTGCTACCACCCCTTCCCAGAAATTTTATTACGTGTCATAAATTGACTATCTTCAAACGACATTTGTCCAATGTGTAGCATGCCCCTTTTATGCATCTTTAAGCTATATTCATTGTTGGCACACGCATTTTGCAGTTAAAACTTTAAAATTTAAGTTTTGGAAATAGCCGTGCTTTCTACTTGGAAAAAATTCAACTTCTGCAACTAAAAAAAAAACTTTACAAATTTTAAATTAAACACAATTTTTCTGGCCACAAAATAATATAATATGTGAGATTTAACTGACTCAATTGTATTTTCTGTTTTCCATAGGAAACACAAGTCCAAGGAATTATGTATGGCAGCGATATAAAGAGTTATGCTGAATTGTTTCTTCCATACCATACCTATTTGATATCAGTTGCAAGTGTTACCGAATCAAACCATGCATATGGAATTCCAATCAACACTTTCCTTTGGACAATTGACAAAGGCACTCTCATTGAACCAATAGAAGAAGTTGAGCCACCAGAAGATTCACTGCCACCACCAACACGGCTTACTGTTACAATGTTCGACAGCTTCCATCACCAACCCGAAGGATTAGAATTTGGTATTACAAAAGTTAACAACTTATACTTCTCATTAACTATAATTGTCTAACAACCTCAATTCTTTTCTAATTTATACACTACTTTTCTCCAAGATGTCCTTGCCATTGTGGTTAACGTCGCCTTGCCAACATGTGCAGCTAATGGATCAAGAATTCAAGAATTGATTATAATGGATAATCAGTAAGTATACATTTATTATCATTTTCAGTTTTTCTGTTCTTCTTTTGAAACTTTTATAACAAATTAACACCCTTACAAATTCATCCTGACGGCTCTTCTAAAAGATAAGTCACTCTTAATCAAACCTTTTTACCTTTGAATGAACAATACAGAAGGTAAGCTTCAATGAAAAACAACTTTGAATTCTCCATATGCTCACGTCTCAAACTCTAACGGAATCAACTTTTAATATATTTTTTCCCCTCTATTGTAAGATAAACAGTAGCTCTCTTCTCTTTCTATTAGAACACCACCATAAGTTTTTCTCCCTTTTTTCTTTTTATTGTCCAGTCTTCTCAGGCATCAAACTGTTAATTTAAGTTAAACCTTTTTATTATCCTGTCTTCTTAAGCATCAAACTGTTAATTTAAGTTAAATTCATTAACTAAGTTATTGAAAAAAAACTAATCTTTAGGCTGAAAAATTTTATTTGAGTTGCATTTATAAATTAATTGTTCAAAAAAAAACAAATCTTCAGCCTGAAAAAATTGTTTTCAGTTGCATCTGTGAAGTGACTATTGGGTAAAAACTTTAATTTTCTGACTTAAAAAACTATTTGAATTACATTTCTAAAGTAACTATTTGAAAAGTACTTATCTTTACACTGATTGCATACAAAATGATCTCTCTGCTAGCTCATATATAAGTCTGTTCCTTAGCTAAATAGATAAAAATTGTTTTCTTTCGGTTAATGTCATTTATGAGCTCTTTCATTTTGCACTATGGTTGTATTATACTTACATTCTCCCAATTCTCCTCCTCCAATGGCTTTTTACCTCATTCAATTTGATTGCAATACTATCCTCTTTGTAAAAAAACAATACAACAGTTGCAATCTTTTTTTATTCTTTTTACCCCAGGAAGAAACCCAAAAAGCTTACACTTTGGGAAAGCTTCATTGATCATGTTGGAATATATATTGCGGAACAACTTAATCAATATCCAATTATCCTGGCCAGAAAAATTGCAAAATCAAAATCATATGCAGGTAAACTCACACACTAATATCATGTTCTTACAAATATCAAAGCACTTAACTTACATTCAACCATTCCAATATACAGGATTAACAAGCAGGTTTGCCACAACAATTCAAATCAATCCTCCATACCCACAGGTTGCTGCACTCAGAAAATGGTATTTACTTCCACAAAAATTAACTACCAACAAATACATATGCATATCCATAAACTCACATTTACTTATTTAAATTTATATTCCTAGGGCCACATCAAATGAACAATTGCTGATAGCATACACCAAAAAGAGTATAACTTCAACGGGTTCTCTTCAGCTTATTCCTTTTGAAGATGAGATCATATCAATTACCGATGCACATCAACATCTTCCGGTAAGAACAAATGCAAATTCCACAGATCATCATGTTGTATGTTTCTTCACACTTTCCCACAATCTTCCAGGGCCAAATAGTTTGCATACAAGCTGAATTTTCGCTATTGGATGAAAATCAACAATTCTATATTTTAGCCTGTTCAACATGCAAACAAATCTTTACTAGGCTTCGTTCACAGAGGAGATTCTATTGTGCAACTTGTCGCCGTTCCGCAAATCTTATTTCAAGGTATAACAATCACTAAGATATCTTTAACAAAACTTCAAGCAGTGCATGTTCAATAAAAAAACATTTTTTCCCTCTTACTATCCACCTTTATTATCATGACTAACCTGCAGAAAAATATCTTCTATTTCTAAACCATTTAATTCTATTTTTCACTTACTGTAGAAGTTTATCTGCACCCTAAATTCCTCTTTTTGCCTTTCCACCTAAATGCATTTTTATATGCTTTACTTCCCGGCTAACAGCTTTAAATCATCCTCTTATCTACTCTTACAACAGATGCCAATTTGACATCACCATCACAGACAACAGTGGTTCAGCAACAGCACTAATCGCAGACGAAGCTGCTGAAACAATGTTGCATCTCACTTCAGAAGAAATCTACGACATTCGCTGCACTAAGGTATATATTACAGCTAATTAAAATAAATACAATATAAATGCCTATTGTTAACTAATCTTTTCTCATCCATCAAAATTCAAACGCCTCCCAGAAACAAATGTTGCCTCTTGCAAATGTGACAAGACAATTAAGTGGAAAGATATTCACCATTCAAGTCAAAAAGTCATTTGCTAAAACTATGGATGGAACTCCTGCAAAATTAATTATCTTGTCGTATATGGAAAAAGAAAACATCATCAGTGCGCCATCATCACCAGCTCCAATGAACACAGCAGCAAGCAGCAAAAGGAAAACTGGAAAAGACAAGGAAGAAGCTACTTTCCATCGCAGGCATGCTCCAGAGCCCAAAACTCCCCCTCCAAAACACCACAACAAGGTATATAAACTTCTGCATAAAACTATGTCATTTTAACTTTTCAGAACTCCTACTTCCTACTTTCACAACTTCAATTAACAGCTGCATTTTAATTTTTTTAACAGTGAAAAACCATGCCACCTGCGTTTTGCAATATGGTTGGAACCATTTTCTATCACTGCAACAATCATATCCATAACAAATAGCTTTCCTTTTGCCTATGTAAATAAAATGTACATGCCTATATTATAGAACTTGGTTCCAACACCTAATATATCATTTTGGTTGTGCCACAGTTGTTATATATTTAATATGGCATCTTCATATATGTGTCTCCCTTGAAATGTTGGGCCCGTGCTGGCACGAGCCATCCACTTCTAGTATCTTTAGAGATATCACCTTTATATTCCTATGATTTTAGTAAATGAATCATCTCACTGACAAATTTTTTGTCATTATCTACCAGCATTACACAAACTTCTTGAATAATATCATAAAGTAGGTATCCTTGTCATACTAATTCTCACTTTTACAAGATTGTGTTTATTTCAAAGCTATTGTACGCTATCTGCGTCCGGATCAACATTCTAGCTTCATCCATGTTATCATTTTGTCTTTTAATACTCTAGATAGTTTTGAAGTAGTGAACAATTGTACTATCTTTTAAAAGCTCTTGTACAGGTGGAATTGGGTTTTGAGTATTGGCTAACTTTCGCACTTTATGTCGTTTATTAATGAAAGTTGGGGGCGGAACCCATCGGGGGCCACCTAAAGTTGGCATCATTTTTTACTTAGATACTGTTGAGAATGTAAAGTATACAGTAAAGTTAGTTAGCAGTGTACAGTAAAGTTAGTTATGAACAATAGAGTTAGTTAAAAGGATCAGTTAGTTAGAATTAGTTAGGGGTCAAGTTGTTGATTAGTTAATTCATACAATATTAGTTGCTTAGTGATTGTGTATATATACAAATACATTGTAATACTCACTTTTTTAATTCACATTCAATGAGAGATAATTTTCATGTTACTCTTCTAGATTCTTCTTATCTTCTCTCTTCTTCTCTCATGTGAGTTGGAGCTCCATCAATGGAGGAGCTTAATTGATCAGTAACAATTTGTAGGGAATTACTCATGTCTTCTTTCCATTTCCAATTCGATCTGTGAGCCTCGTTTTCTTTTATGTGAATTTTTCGTTTGATCTGGTTGTTCTCGATCTTCGATCTGTCAATTTCGTTTTTCCTTTTATGTGAACTCTGTTTGATCTGGTTGTTCCCGACTTGATCTTCTTCCCAATTTTCAATTCACCATGGTCGATTCTTCAGATGATTCCATTCCAAATGCTTCTGCATCTACTGTTAGGGTAGAAATCCCTAGTCCTTTCTACTTGCATCCATCTGAGAATGCGAGTTCATCCCTATTACCTGCAGTTTTTGATGGAACTGGTTACAGATCCTGGAGAAGAGCAGTTCTCAGGGCTTTATCTGTTAAGAGCAAGACAGGATTCATTAATGGGAAGGTTGTGAGACCTGATCCTACTGATCCTAGCTTTCAGCAATGGGAAAGGTGTGATGATATGGTCACATCTTGGATCCTGAACTCCTTGTCACCAGATTTGCGTGATAGTCTGCAGTATGTCAATAATGCTCAGGAACTTTGGGTAGAACTAGAAGAAAGGTACGATCAAACCAATGGTTGTAAGTTGTACCAGCTTCAAAAGGAGATCAATGACCTTGTCCAAGGCACTCTGGATATCACTGGTTACTACACTAAAATGAAGAAACTCTGGGAAGAAATGAGCACTATTGATATCAGCTCTCAGTGCAATTGTGTGTGCACTTGTGGTGGTAAAACAAAATTGGTTAAGGCTGAACAAGATCGCAGGCTTATACACTTTCTAATGGGTTTAAATGAGATGTATACTGCAGTTCGAGGCAACATTCTCATGATGAATACTCTACCAAGTATGGCCCAGGCTTTTGCCATCTTGTCCCAAGAAGAGAAGCAAAGGGAAGTGAAGCCTTATAATCATACAGCTTTGGATTCTACCTCTCTCAATGCCTATGGACAGAACCCCAGCAGGGGATTCAAGACAAACTACAGTCCATCTAGAGGAGGTGGAACCAGTTCTGGGAATATAAGCAATAATACTGGGTTTAGAGGCAATTCTACTACTAGCAGGGCTTCTTTGTTCTGTGATTACTGTAAGAAATCAGGACACACGAAGGATAAATGTTACAAACTTCATGGATACCCATCCAATCCAAATCCAAGGTTCCCAAAGGGAAAAGGCACAGGTTCTGCAGCAAATGTGTGTGCCCCTGATATGAATGGAGTTCAATCTAAAGAGGAATCTGAAGTAAGGAGACAAATGCCATTGAACCTGTCCAAAGATCAATATGAACAACTACTCAATCTCCTGGGAACTCTGCAAGTTGGAAATGGAGCCTCAAATTCAGACAACTCAAACAGCATGCTGAATGGAGCTGTGAACCTGGCAGGTATACTTGCTTGTTATTCCTCTATAACTGATATATGTGATCTTTCTTGTAAATGCGTTAAGTTGACTACTAGCTCTTGGATCATAGACTCAGGAGCATCACACCACATGACCTATGATAAAACCACACTCACAAACATTAAATCACTTCCATATACTTTCCTAATCTCGCTACCTAATGGTTATAAGGTTAAAGTGACTGAAATTGGTGATGTTTGTTTGAATCCAGCATTGACTCTAAGAAAAGTATTATTTGTACCTACCTAGCTTCAAGTTTAATCTCATTTCTGTTCATTGTTTAGCACTACAACTCAATGGTGTAGTCAGTTTTGATAAATTTTCTTGTTTACTGCAAGGGGCCCTTCTCTGAAGAGCCCTCTGGAACTTGGTAAAGCCAAGAATGGCTTGTACTTCCTGTGTAGCAAATGCCACAACTGTTATCCATCTGCTGAGAACAAACCACCAAGATTACCACACTTCAATTGTCATCTTGTCCCTTCTTTAGACAACATTGATAAAATTTCAAATTCAAAAGTGTACACTTCATCTTCTGTAAAACACTCTCCTATAAATAAAGAAGATTGTATTGTGGCTTCTTCCTCTTGTCTTTCTGATGCTTGTCCTTCATTTGCAAATCTCTCTAATCACAGGCATGATGATGAACTCTTATGGCATGCTAGATTAGGACATGTACCTTTTGTAAAAATGAAAAACATTTCAACCATACCTATGAAATTTTCTCCTAGACAGCCTTTTTCCTGCACAATATGCCCTATGGCCAGGCAAACTAGGATGCCATTTCCGGAAAGCACTACTACTACCACCAAAGTGTTTGAGTTACTACATGTTGATTTGTGGGGACCCTATCATATTCCCACACATGATGGCTATCACTATTTTCTCACTATGGTAGATGACCACAGTAGGTCCACTTGGACACAATTGCTAAGATGTAAAAGTAATGCCCTCCAAACCATAAAAGCTTTCATATCCCTTATAGAAAATCAATTCCAAACCAAGTTGAAAGCCATAAGATCTGATAATGGGTTAGAGTTTACTTCAGCTGAGGCCACATGTTTCTTTCAAACCAAAGGTATTATACACCAATGAACTTGTCCTTATACACCTCAACAAAATGGTGTGGTTGAAAGAAAACACAAGTACCTCCTAGAAACAGCAAGAGCACTTTTATTTCAGTCAAAATTACCTATGAGGTACTGGGGGGAATGTGTACTGACTGCTACATACCTAATTAATAGATTACCCACTCAACAACTTCACAACAAGACTCCATATGAAATATTATACCAAAAACAGCCCACATATTCTCACCTTAAAAGTTTTGGTTGTCTTTGTTTTCCCACTATCTTGAAAACTCACAAGGATAAGTTTGAACCAAGAACCACACCCCATATTTTTGTTGGCTACCCATTCAATACAAAAGGTTACAAAGTTTTGAGTCTGGCTACCAAGAGAGTTCATGTATCTAAAGATGTGACTTTCCATGAAAAGGTTTTTCCTTTTGCTATTGCCCCTGATGGTTCTAGTTTCAATTCCATTGCACAAATGTTTATTCATGCCACTGACATGACTTGTATGCCTGGTCAAATGAACACTTTTACTGATGATGATATGCTGGACATTCTCACACCACATGAGGTCACTAATAATCAAACAATCAGTAACACAAATATGAATGTAATACCATCTGCTGTCCAACCTGAACCTACAAATAACCTGCCTAGTCCTAATATTTCCAATGATCCTTTGCCAGCACCCAGAAGAACCACCAGGCCCATTCATACTCCTACTTACCTAAAAGAATATAACTACACCTTGCCTAAGCTACACTCCCTCACCTCTTTTATGTCTCATGAACCTATTTTGCTTCACAAGTCTATGTTCTGATAGCCAGCAGTTAGTGACGACCATTTCACATGACTGTGAGCCTACTTCATTTGAAGAGGCAATACTGCATCCTGCCTGGCAGCAGGCCATGACACAGGAGTTTGAAGCTTTATATGCCAATGACACTTGGGAGATGGTTATGTTACTTGATGGGAAGAAAGCTATTGGATGCAAGTGGGTGTACAAGATCAAGCACAAAGCTGATGGTAGTGTGGAGAGATTTAAGGCCAGATTGGTGGTCAAAGGCTATACACAACAAGCTGGGGTAGATTACACTGAAACCTTCTCACCTGTGGTTAAAATGACCACGGTTAGGACCCTAATTTCTTTGGCTGTCAAGAAGGATTGGAACTTGTATCAATTGGATGTCAACAATGCATTCTTGCATAGTGATTTACATGAGGAAGTGTATATGGTAGCCCCACAAGGCCTTGCAGTAGGTGATGACAACATGGTGTGCAGAATGAAAAAATCATTATATGGACTGAAACAGGCTAGCAGACAATGGTATGAGAAATTGGCAAATAGTCTTTGTTCAAAAGGGTACCAACACTCTGACAGTGATTACTCACTGTTTTATAAAAGAAAGGGCTGCTCTTTGGTTTTTGTTGTTGTATATGTGGATGATATCATCCTAACAGGGACTGATGTAGATGAGATCAACTCCTTAAAGGCCTTCCTACATGATCAATTCAAGATAAAAGACTTGGGCAGATTACATTACTTTCTAGGACTAGAGATCCTATACAGGCATGATGGTGTTCTAATCTCACAGAGGAAATTTACTTCTGACCTCCTGAAGGAATTTGATGTATTGAATTACAAAGCTGCTACATCTCCTCTTGATTGTGCTGAGAAGTTGACAGCCACAGATGGCAAAATATTATCTGATCCCACTCAATATAG